GCAAAGGTAAGTGAATTGACACAGGGGGGACTTGGGGACTTAATATGGGGGATGAATTAATATGGGGGATGAATTACTATGGGGGATGAATTACTATATGGGGGATGAATTACTATATGGGGGATGAATTACTATATGGGATGAATTACTATGGGGGATGAATTACTATGGGGAATGAATTACTATATGGGGGATGAATTACTATGGGGGTTGAATTACTATATGGGGGATGAATTAATATGGGGATGAATTACTATAGGGGGGATGAATTACTATGGGGGATGAATTACTATATGGGGGATGAATTAATATGGGGGATGAATTAATATGGGGGATGAATTAATATGGGGAATCAATTACTATATAGGGGATGAATTACTATGGGGATGAATTACTATAGGGGGACTGAATTACTATAGGGGGAATGAATTACTATAGGGGGGATGAATTACTCTAGGGGGGATGAATTACTATATGGGGGATGAATTACTATATGGGGGATGAATTACTATAGGGGGGATGAATTACTATATGGGGAATGAATTACTATATGGGGATGAATTACTATGGGGGATGAATTACTATAGGGGGGATGAATTACTATAGGGGGGATGAATTACTATAGGGGAGATGAATTACTATAGGGGGGATGAATTACTATATGGGGGATGAATTACTATATGGGGGATGAATTAATATGGGGAATTAATTACTATATGGGGGATGAATTACTATAGGGGGGATGAATTACTATACGGGGGATGAATTACTATGGGGAATGAATTACTATATGGGGGATGAATTACTATGGGGGATGAATTACTATATGGGGGATGAATTACTATATGGGGGATGAATTACTATAGGGGGGATGAATTACTATGGGGGATGAATTACTATGGGGGGTGAATTACTATATGGGGGATGAATTAATATGGGGAATGAATTACTATATAGGGGATGAATTACTATGGGGGATGAATTACTATAGGGGGACTGAATTACTATAGGGGGGATGAATTACTCTAGGGGGGATGAATTACTCTAGGGGGGATGAATTACTATGGGGGATGAATTACTATATGGGGAATTAATTACTATAGGGGGGATGAATTACTATAGGGGGGATGAATTACTATATGGGGATGAATTACTATGGGGGATGAATTACTATAGGGGGGATGAATTACTATATGGGAGATGAATTACTATAGGGGGGATGAATTACTATATGGGGGATGAATTACTATATGGGGGATGAATTAATATGGGGAATTAATTACTATATGGGGGATGAATTACTATAGGGGGGATGAATTACTATACAGGGGAAGAATTACTATAGGGGGGATGAATTACTATATGGGGAATGAATTACTATATGGGGGATGAATTACTATAGGGGGGATGAATTACTATATGGGGGATGAATTACTATGGGGGATGAATTACTATAGGGGGGATGAATTACTATGGGGGATGAATTACTATATGGGGGATGAATTACTATGGGGGATGAATTACTATAGGGGGGATGAATTACTATATGGGGGATGAATTACTATGGGGGATGAATTACTATGGGGGATGAATTACTATATGGGGGATGAATTACTATATGGGGGATGAATTACTATGGGGGATGAATTACTATGGGGGATGAATTACTATATGGGGGACGAATTACTATGGGGGATGAATTACTATATGGGGGATGAATTACTATGGGGGATGAATTACTATATGGGGGATTAATTACTATGCTTACTATGGGGGAATATTACTATACTTACTATGGATGACACATACACATCATTCATCTACTCTTGGTCCGGCCCCCGGGTCCAATATATGAACCCATTGCGGCCCTCAAGTCAAAAAGTTTGCCCACCCCTGATCTAGACCCTGCATCTGCACTGTTCTGTACTGTGTCTGTCTCAGATACAGACCAGACAGCAAATCCGTCCTAATTAACACCATTTGTGCCCCTCTTGTTAATTAGGAGCTGCATTATGCTTGCACAATGCACAACACTTTATTCTCCATGTGTGTATACAATGCTCAGCATAAATGAGTGCACCCCAAAAAATTTTTGTCAGAAAACCGTTACTTTCCTTTCAGAATCAACATTTTCTGTGGGACATTATATTTCAAAGTACTCCCACATATGCGGGTCATTGATTGCAATCAGGATTTGTTAATTTGCACACACAAAAAAGTATTTTTCCTAACAAATAATTCAAGACCATGCTGCAAAAATGAATACACCCCAATGAAAGTCTTAGGCGCAAAGCTAAATTTTAGACGACAAAATCCTAATTAACAAGAATTAATCTACAGGTGAGTCTAATTATTCATTAAACAGGTGTCCAGTAGACAGGTTATTATAAAAGAGCGTTACTTAACAAAGAAAACCCCTTCCCATGTCTTGCTGGCAGCAATGGCACCACATGGAAGAGTTATGTCACAAGGCCTGAGAAAGAAAATCATTTATTTACACGGGAAAGGTGGAGGCTACAAGAAAATCAACAAAGCTTTACTTATAAGTCATAATACTGTAGCAGAAGTGATACAAAAATTTAACAAAGATGGAACTGCTACCATCTCACAGAGACGTCCAGGCCATCTGTTGAAGTTAACACCTTGACAGGAGTGTCTTCTGATGAGAAGGGTTGAAGAAAATTGCTATGCAAGTTCACTGCAGTTAGCTAAAGAAGTAGAAAGCCAAACTGGGGTGATTGTTTCCCGTGACACAATACGGTGTACACTGCAGAGGAATGGCATGCATGGGTGTCATCCACGAAAGGAAGCCTCTCCTAAAGCCCATGCACAAAAAGCCAGCATAGAATTTGCCCATGCTGGAAAAAAAGACTACTACTGGGACTCTGTACTCTGGAGTGATGAGACCAAGATAAATGTTTTTGGAACTGATGGCTTCAAAACTGTATGGAGTCGTAAAGGTGAGGAGTACAAAGAAAAATGCATGGTTCCTACAGTGAAACATGGTGGTGGCAGTGTCCTTCTGTTTGGCTGCTTGAGTGCTGCTGATGTCGAGGAGCTGCATTTCATTGATGGTTTCAAGAATTCACAGATGTACTGCTCTATATTGAAAGAGATGATGCTACCATCATCCATCACTCCGTGTCCTTGGTCGTCGTGCACTTTTCCAACATCACAATAATCCAAAACACACATTTAAAGCCACTGTTTCATTTCTGAAGAACAGGGTGAAAGTGATTTGATGGCCAAGTATATCTCCTGATCTGAACCCAATCAAACACCTATGGGTAATTCTGAAGAGACAAGTTGAGCATCACTCTCCACTCATCCAGGCTCTAAAAGAGGTTGTTCCTGAAGAATAGAAAAAGATAGATGTTGCAATATGTTGCCAACTTATTCATTCTAAGTGTAGAAGACTTGGTGCTGTCCTTACAAATCATGGAGGTCATACAAAATACTAGATGTAGTCATTTTTGTTGTGGGGTATATTCATTTTTGCATCAACTAATTTGAGTAAAACTGAAGATTTTGTAATCTAAGTTATATTATTAACCTTACTTTCATGTAACGAGCTAAACAAATGTTCTATAAAACTCAGTTTTGTCAAAATTTTAGAACTTTTTCTTGTGTTCATTGAGATATTGATTAAAATCTTACTTTTCAGAGGTGGTGTACTGATTTATGCTGAGCACTGTGTATATACACACTATATTGCCCAAATTATTGGGACACCTGCTTTTACACACACATGAACTTTAATGGCATTCCAGTCTTAGTCTGTAGGGTTCAATATTAAGTTGGCCCGCCCTTTGCAGCTATAACAGCTTCAACTCTTATAGGAAGACTGTCCACAAGGTTAGGAGTGTGTCTATGGGAATATTTGACCATTCCTCCAGAAGCGCATTTGTGAGGTCAGGCACTGATATCGGACGAGAAGGTCTTGCTCACAATCCCCGCTCTAATTCATCCCAAAGGTGTTCTATCAGGTTGAGGTCAGGACTCTGTGCAAGCAGTCAAGTTTCTCCACCCCAAACTCACTCATCCGTGTATTTATGGACCTTGCTTTGTGCACTGGTGTGCAGTCATGTTGGAACAGGAAGGGGCCATCCCGAACTGTTCCCACCAAGTTGGTAGCATGAATTTATCCAAAATGTCTTGGTATGCTGATGATATAGGAGTTATCTTCACTGGAACTAAGGGGTCAATCCCAATCCCTGAGAAATAACCCCCCCCCCCCCTGCCCTCTCCACCAAACTTTACACTTGGCACAATGCAGTCAGGCAAGTACCATTCTCCTGACAACAACCAAACCCAGACACGTCCATCAGATTGCCAGAGAGAGAAGCATGATTCATCACTCCAGAGAACACATCTCCACTGCTCTAGAGTCCAGTGGCAGCGTGCTTTACACCACCACATCTGACACTTTGCATTGCACTTGGTGATGTAAGGCTTGGATGCAGCTGCCTGTCCATGGAAACCCATTCCAGATTAGCACAACAACAGTGAGTAGAGCTTCATGAAGGCCACAGGAAGTTTGTAGGTGTTTAGCTATTGACTCTGCAGACAGTTGGCAACTTTTGCGCACTGTGCGCTTCAGCACGCGATGAACTCTCTCTGTCATTTTAAAAGTTGCTGTTGTTTCCAGTTGCTTCCACTTTGTTATAATACCACTAACAGTTGACTGTGGAATATTTAGTAGCAAAGAAATTATTCCACGGATGGACTTACTGCACAAGTGGCAACCTATCACAATACCACACTTGAATACACTGAGCTCTTGAGAGCGACAAATGTCTGTAGAAGCAGTTTGCATGCCTAGGTGCTTGATTTTATACACCTGAATCCAATGATTTGGAGGGGGGGTGTCCCAAAACTTTGGCAATAGAGTGTGTGTATGTATGTATATGTGTTGTATTTTTTTATGTGTAAAATTAATTGGCACTACAAAATAATTTTTCGTTCCAATTTTGTAAATGTTTTTTTGATTTTTATTGCAGTCCTATAAAGAAATTTCTGATGCTCTAGAAGAAGCTGGAAATGATGATTCAGTTCTCACTGTGTTTACAGGTACTGAGAGTTACCCTGTAGTTTATCTTCCCTAGGTCTAGTTTGGTGATATTTGCTATGAGTTGTATTATATCTTCTCTAACAAGTGTATTTTATCTGTTTTCACCTTTTTTTATACAGTATGTTCTTGCATACTTCTGAAATGAAAAGTTTAGGTGCACTTTTATTTAGCCCAAATACAGTACCTTTCCCAAGCCTTGGGAATAATGTTTCAATACTTTGGCATATCGTGCTTCTGATGCTTTTAAATATAGTCCTTGATCATTCACAGCTACTGTTGCCTTTTCTTCACTTCAAGTCTGTGGACATTGCTTTCTGTATTTATTTCAAAATGTTTCCCAAGAAAAGTGACACAGTGAAACTGCTCTTAGGATCCTGAGGGTTACAATGCAAAGCACAAGTCACCAGTGGCTCACTTCTGCTTTGTTTGCTTGAATTTCACTAAAATGAATCTTGTAAAATGTTTGGAAGTTGGCAATCACTTTAGAGGTTTGCTGTACTATAATCATCACCACAATGTTCTCAGTCCTGCTGGGGATTCTGTGAAAGCACACTGACCATGGGGCTTGCTTGGCACTGTTGCCATTCACAGAATACCTTGTATTTATTTTAATGAATAAGAGGCATTCTCTGACTGGATGAGATGGAGAGGCAGGGCAGTGATGTCTTGATCTCTACCTCGTACAATCAGAGAACGCTTGAAATTTATGTGTGTAGTATTGAATGAACCCTGTTCACCCTCCAGGGCTCTAAGTTAATGCTATAAATGGCTGATCAGCAGCCATAAGTAAGTTAATGGGTCATAACTAGAGATGAGCGAAGTATTCAAAAGTTCGATTCGACTGATTCGGCGAATTCGTGGAAAAATTTAGATTCGAGTCGAATATATTCGCTGTGAATTTAACTTAAAAAAGGGTGTTTCTAGGCTTCAGAGAGACTTAATATTAGTGCAGAACACTGTACCTTTAATTTAAATGCCCTTGGAGTCTGCTGGGGAAGAGAAATAATACTGTCAGTCAGTATGACATGCAGATGAGTGCCGTCGATCTTAGAATCACCGCACACTTCACTCATTTGGGCAGTCACGGGGCCAAAACCAGAGTGTGGAGCCACAGTGTGGCGGTGGAGGCAGCAGCAATGGGAGGCCATACAGCACCCTATGACAAAAATGGAAACCACCAGCAGTGTGAGGAGACCTGAAAGTGGCACATGGCAGAGTGTGGCGATAGAGACAGCAGCAATGGGAGGCCGTACAGGGACCCATGACACACTCTGGACCTGGCAGCAGCATGAGGAGGCGGTACAGGGGCCCATGACAGATTACGGGCCTGGCAGCAGCATGAGGAGTCGGTACGGGGGCCCATGGCAGATTACGGGCCTGGCAGCAGCAATGGGAGGCCGTACAGGGACCCATGACACACTCTGGACCTGGCAGCAGCATGGGGAGGCGGTAAAGGGGCCCATGACAGATTACGGGCCTGGCAGCAGCATGAGGAGTCGGTACGGGGGCCCATGACACACTCTGGACCTGGCAGCAGCATGAGGAGGCGGTACAGGGGCGCATGACAGATTACGAGCCTGGCAGCAGCAACTTGGACAGGAGGACGTTCAGCTTCTGCACCGTCGGGGTGCATGCTCGCAAACTGTTGTCTCTTGGAAACGGATTCCAAGAAAGACTGCTGACGGAATCCGTGAAGAGGAGTAGCAGGAGAAGGAGCATCTGAACGAGCGGAATATGCCAACAAGCGACAACAGGGGCCCATGACAGATTACGGGCCTGGCAGCAGCATGAGGAGTCGGTACGGGGGCCCATGGCAGATTAGGGGCCTGGCAGCAGCTATGGGAGGCCCATAATCTGCCAGCACCCTATGACAAAAAATGGAACCCACCAGCAGTGTGAGGAGACCTGAAAGTGGCACATGGCAGAGTGTGGGCGGGATGGAGACAGCAGCAATGGGAGGCCGTACAGGGACCCATGACACACTCCTGGACCTGGCAGCAGCATGAGGAGGCGGTACAGGGGCCCATGACAGATTACGGGGCCTGGCAGCAGCATGGGAGGCCGTATCCCCATATGGCAGAAAATCAAACACGGGCCTGGCAGCAGCCTGGGTGGCGTAGACGCTGCAATGATTATGACAAACTTGGACCTGCAGCAGCTTGGAAGGCGGGGGTTACAGGGGCCCATGACAGATTACGTTGGCAGCAGCATGAGGAGTCGGGTCAGAGCCAGCACCCTAGTGGAGGCCTTGACAGACTCTGGAACAGCCTAGCATGATGAGGCGACTACAGGGGCCCATGACAGATTACGAGCACTGGCAGCAGGCAGCAACTGGGACATGAGTCACGTTACTTCTGCACAGTGGGCACCATGGTTTGTCAGATTTGGGGCCTGGCAGCTGCTGACAAATCCGTGGAAGGGAAAATGGAAGGACACCAGCAGGTGAAGACATCTGAAAGTGGTACTGGCGGAGATATGGCCATGGAGAGCAACATGGGCCCATGACAGGGATTACGGGGCCTGGCAGCAGCATGAGGTCGGTATAGGGGCCCATGGCAGATTAGGGGGCCTGGCAGCAGCTATGGGAGGCCCGTAATCTGCCAGCACCCTATGACAAAAAATGGAACCCACCAGCAGTGTGAGGAGACCTGAAAGTGGCACATGGCAGAGTGTGGCGATGGAGACACAGCAGCAATGGGAGGCCGTACAGGGACCCATGAGAGACTCTGGACCTGGCAGCAGCATGAGGAGGCGGTATAGGGGCCCATGGCAGATTAGGGGCCTGGCAGCAGCTAATGGGAGGCCCGTAATCTGCCAGCACCCTATGACAAAAAATGGAACACCAGCAGTGTGAGGAGACCTGAAAGTGGCACATGGCAGAGTGTGGCGATGGAGACAGCAGCAATGGGAGGCCGTACAGGGACCCATGAGAGACTCTGGACTTGGCAGCAGCATGAGGAGGCGGTATAGGGGCCCATGCAGATTAGGGGCCTGGCAGCAGCTATGGGAGGCCCGTAATCTGCCAGCACCCTATGACAAAAAATGGAACACACCAGCAGTGTGAGGAGACCTGAAAGTGGCACATGTTTGGGGCATGATTCATGGCGATTTAGTCAGTTGTGTCAGGAACTGGTGGTTTGAAATCCAGACTAATCCACGCCTGATTCATTTTCACAAACGTGAGTATCTCCACACTTTGGGGGGACAGTCAGCCTATGCGGAGTTACAATACCTCCTGCCGCACCCTAAAAAAATTCAACTCCGATGCCAGCTACTGTGGCCGGGCATGACAGTGGCCTTTCAAGGGCAAAATTCAGCTAGCAATGGGGCCAAAGGTCAAGTTTCGTTGACCCAGTAGTCAAGGGGATTGTCTACCTCGGTTGGCAGGGTGCTGTCCAAGTAGGGGCCCATGCCTGTTTGTTTGAGGTCCTGCTCCAGGTCCCTGTAATCTGATGCTGCTGCTGCTGCTGAGGCTGGTTAGTAGTTTCCTCACTGCGCTGGTGAAGAAAGCTACTCATCATGATGCTGCAGACTGAGGGCCGCTGCTGGTGGAGCTGCCACTGCTCCTACCACCCCACCCCTCCCCTGCTGCCATGGGAGCGGAACGCTGAGCGCACAGGGCCCACAGTGTCTGAGGATGGACGTGGGCGCAGACAAGGCAGAGACCACCAGCTGACTACATAGGTGGTTTTTTTATAGTACGTTATTTGGCCTCCCTCTCAGCAGGTGTGAAAAAGGCCACCATTTTTGGGAACGGGGTAGCGAGGGTCCAACAAGGTGGACAGCCAAAAGTCATCCCTCTGTCTGATGGTTATTATTCGGCTGTCGCCCTACGCAAAATGCAAGCCGAGCATGCTATGGGCATTTGTGCCAAGGAATGCGAGGGACTCCCTGCCTCCATCTCCACAGCATACTGCCACGGTGCGTCTGGGTCCTCTGTCTCCTCTTCAGCCTCCTCTCTACCAGGTTAGATGCTCCTGCTCCTCCACTCCTGTCCGCTGAGGGAAAAAACCACCCATTTCACTCAATAATTCCTGAGCACCAATGTCCTCCTCTACCTCCTCCTCTTCTTCCTGTCCTGCCCCCACAGGGGTCATGTGGCGTTGAGATCTGTGCGCCACGTCTACCGCACCCTGACCAGCCATTGTTAACAGCATTTGTTCCAGGACGTGCAACAGAGGAATGACGTCGTTCATCCCATAGTCCTGCCGACTCACGAATAGCGTGGCCTCCTCAAAGGGCTGAGCAAGCGCAGGTGTCAGCATAGCATGAGCTGCCCAATGGCTGACATCTAAGTTACACAGGGAGTACCTTTATCCGCTTTTAACATCAGGAAATCTGTGATGGCCTTTTGCTGTTCGTAAAGGCGGTCTAACATATGTAGGGTTGAATTCCACCTTGTTGCAACGTCACAGCATGAGGAGTCGGTATATAGGGGCCCATGGCAGATTAGGGGCCTGGCAGCAGCTATGGGAGGCCCGTAATCTGCCAGCACCCTATGTCAAAAAAATTCAAACACACAGCAGCAGTGTGAGGAGACCTGAAAGTGGCACATGGCAGAGTGTGGCGATGGAGACACAGCAGCAATGGGAGGCCGTACAGGGACCCATGAGAGACTCTGGACCTGGCAGCAGCATGAGGAGGCGGTATATAGGGGCCATGGCAGATTAGGGGCCTGGCAGCAGCAGCTATGGGAGGCCCGTAATCTGCCAGCACCCTATGTCAAAAAAATTCAACACACCAGCAGTGTGAGGAGACCTGAAAGTGGCACATGGCAGAGTGTGGCGATGGTGAGACAGCAGCAATGGGAGGCCGTACAGGGACCCATGAGACTCTGGACTGGCAGCAGCATATGACGTAGGGGGCGGTATATAGGGGCCCATGGCAGATTAGGGGCCTGGCAGCAGCTATGGGAGGCCCGTAATAATCTGCCAGCACCCTATGTCAAAAAAAATTCAACACACCAGCAGTGTGAGGAGACCTGAAAGTGGCACATGGC